TGGACCCTAGAGCCAGTCCGAACGACGTGGAGTGCAGAAAAATCTCTTTCCCCTGCCGGGAATCGAGCCCTGGCAGTCCAGCCCCTTTGCCTGCACATATACCGACTGAGCTATCCCGACTTTCAATGTACTGTTTAATGTGTACTTTTCTTGAATTAAACGTATTAAATAGTGGAGAAGTTGATTCATGTCGTGCATCAAAAGGAGAAGGAAGATGCGTCCTACACTGACCCCAACATATGACACTCCCTGCTGGCTCACATATGCATACATTCCAGGACCGTGCACAGTAACTCTCTATCGCCCGCTGCTGTACTGCATCCTGTTACCTAGCTCCGTAAGGTAAAGTTGCCCCTGTGCTTTACTAATTAAGTACTACGACATGAAGGCGTATGGAGGAGTGGATGTATAGATCCACATTTTCTTGACCTCCGCACTAGTTGGAGGTGAGTGGTCAGTTTCACGCTCCTGCCGCTTAAGCCCTGGGTAAACCCGGTACCCATAGGAAAGGTAGCTGGGTGGGCCCCAGAGCCGGTCTGGACGACGTGGAGATGGGAAAAATTCTTGACCCTACCGGGACTAGAACTCCGACACCTCGGTCGTCCAGCCCGTAGCCAGTCGCCATACCAATTATTCTATCCCAGTTCGTACGTAGCCTCATAAGACCCTGAAATCAAGATATTATATTCTGAAACCGCTGAGAGAACCGAGCTGCAGTAGCTAAACTAGCACCAACGCCCTATTTATCTCGTGTGACACGAATTCATTGGCTCCCAAATCCGAATTTTTCCACGTACACTTCAGCAAGAAAAGAACAGCGGAGAGCTGGAGTCGACCTCCACTGCCACCAAACGACGGTCTCAGTAGGTGTGAGAGACAGGGGGCCAGAGACAGAGATATTATTTGAAACACGTAGATCAGCAACTCCCTCCCCCATCACTTTTTTAGTGTATTTGATTTAAAATTACACTTGGATGTGAAACAAAAGGAATTAGGAACACTTTCATGCAACCTTGTGAAATGTTTTGCGTGCCTCCAAGGAGTTTGTGCACCTTACTAAAAGGTAAAGCTATCCCCGTAACAGGCCTACACGCAGCGAAGGCCCATTGGGTTGAGAGGTCGAGGCTCCACACTTTCTAGACATTCGGCCTACAGATGGCGGTGAGGATGTCAGCTTTACGCACCGGCCGCCCTTTACCCCCAGAAAGATTCCGGGTACTCATTTCTGTTGGAGGCTGAATCGACCACAGCTTGATAGTGCGGATGGAAAAATTAGGTAAATCGAAAAATCCAATGGCCTCATCGGAAATCGAATCCGCGACCTCCCAGCTTGTAGCATAGTGCCTCAACCAACTACGCTACCGCATGCTTCCATAAGCCTACTTTGGGAATCATTGTTCTAAGTAGGATTTGAGGTCCTCACAACGGTAGTTATGAACAGTACTATCATCTGGGGATATAACGCCGTGTAATCCGTTGAAAGTCAACCGACGTTTCGGAGGAATATACTGCCTCATCTTCAGGGACAAAGAATAAACCGAGCAAGATACCAGCATGAAAGCAGGTGACAAGCAGAGTAATCGGCTAGCCGGAAATTTCGGATTATATATGAAGCAGGAGGGACATGGAAGAGTGGGCCTCAGTTCTCATTTCCGCACCATTTAAAATCTTCTAAGGCACATACCGGTCCGCTAATTGTACATGACTTTCAAACTTCCGTACGTATATGATTATATAACAAAATTATGAAGGCAAGAAGCAGAAGTCAAACAAAACCATGAAAATATAAATGTTCGCGTGCCGGACAAGGCGAAGCCCGGCACAGAACATACGAGAGGCTTAAATTTGGAAGCGGTCAAGCAGACAACCGTTCAAGTGATTAGGCGGCCGTTGTAGCGTGAGCTACTTATGATAGGGTAGGATCTGCTGCTTTCAGCCTGGACTGACAAGAGGCCTTGTATATATTATATATATACATGCATTATGTCCTACCATGTATCATACATGTAAACTGTAAATATTATGTACATGTTGACAATTCACTTTTTCTGCTGAATGTGACTCTGAGAAATGACAGACTCTTCCGCTCGCTAAAGAGGGCGCTTAACATCGACAGAATCATAACTGTCTAGCAGTAACTAAAATCTGGTCAGGAGCCCAAGATGGGGCTTGGCACCAAGACGGAATGACTTACTGACCGTCGGTCGCCACGTAGCTCTGACTCTGAGTAGCCGATTACTCTGCTTGCCACCTGCTTTCACGCTGGTGTCTTGCTTGGCTTATTCGACCCTGAAGATGGGGGCAAAATGTTCTTCCAAAACGTCGGTTGACTTTCAACGGACTACACGGCATTATATGCCAGAAGATTGTACTGTTCTCTGGGAAAGTTATACAATTTTGAGTTCCAGCATTTTTTAGGCAGTTGAAGCCATTTGTATCTGCTCTCGGGCCGGGCAGGATAGTCCTAATGTTATACGGCTAATCATAAAACCAATTTCACTCACCGTTGCCTCATCGTCGTGCACACAAGAACTCCGACTTTCATGTATTGGTTATTGAAAGAAGATGGCGGTATGTACCCAGCGACGACTAAACAGAGTGACCGACTTTCTTGACATGAGATAAGTAGGTCATGTCATCGGAGGTCATTGCAGCTACGTACTTTTCGAAAAACGTCTGTCTTTAACTACTATAATACACTTAAAGTAAAGTAAAAAGTAAACGTATCCCTGTAACAGGCCGTGGAGGTCCATATGGGTGTGAGATGTTGAGGGTCCAACATTTTCTATACAATCGACTCATAGATGGCGGTAAGGTTGTCAGCCTTACGCGCCGGCAGGCCGCCCTTAACCCCTATAGAACATTCCAAGAATATTCCTGGTACTCATTTCTGTCAGAGGGTGAGTCGACACCAGGGCCATAGTGCGGCTGGAAGGATTAGATAAATTGAAAAAAATCCAATGACCTCATCGGGATTCGATCCCGCGACCTTCCGGCTTGTAGCATACTGCCTCAACCAACTACGCTACTGCGTAGTTGTTCTCCAAATAAGTGCAAGAACACCCTTTACTAGCTCACACTCTTTCCGATGTATTTATTATATCGAAAATTACCATCTGCTGTACAAAGAATTCGTATAACAATTACTGAAACATTTATAAATGGAAATGGACGTGCCATGCAACGCACATTTCAATCTCCTTTGCTTCCGTAGTGTAGGGTAAAACAGTAGGATTACTGGTTGGGAATGTAACCAGTTATAGCAGACTACAAAACGGTCCGTTGAAAGCGATGGCAAACTGGAAATATTAATACAGGAATCATATGTTACAGGCTATATGATTCTAGAGAAGAACCATTCCTTGATATAAGAAGTACAAATACGACTGGAATGGAATTATTTAGTAGAAATGGTGAAGTTTAGAGATGTTATAATAAAGAATTGTGTTATTCGTGCATATCTAGGCTACAACTTCGCTGTTATTCAGATATTACATATGGGTGTTGCAATACTAATTAAGTACATTCCGGGAAAGAGTACATCTATAAGTGATTCTACACATTGCATTAACAAAGTAACTTTATGCTCAGAGAACAATGATGTAGATCATATCAATGAAGATTATTTAATGGTCTTGACGGACAAATTAGAATTAGCATAGGCCCCGTTCTATCTATGACGTATATGAAGATACATTTCTCAATGGAGTTTCAAGCCATAACTAATATTTCCCAGTTTATTTCATAGTAGATTTCACTATCAAGGTGAGTAAATGCATAGTGCATGCATATAAACCACAAAGTATTGTATTACAGGGTGAATCGTATAGAACCGGCCCGATGAATTTGTTAATAATTCCGCAGGTGACGCATATAACCGCTCACAATTACGACACCATACTCCGTGGGCCGTGCTGAGTCGAATGGTGTGCTCGTGATCCGGAAAGTGGCAGCCCTTATACTGCAAGGTCAAGGACAATGCCGAAACGTGTCTGCAGTGCGCAGGCGACAAAGTGTTTCTAGTGCCTATTTGAAAACGGCGGACACTTTCAACACATGCTCTGATCACGGCACACAATCCAAGATAAGATATGTGTAAATTACTTTAATATCTGTATGGTATATTTTATATTGCAGCTCATTTCGTCGGGCCGGTTCTATATGAATCACCCTGTATTTTGTTGCTGAATACGCTTGAAGTTGGCAGGTGGCATAAAAAGAAGGAGTTTACTTAAACACATTTCCATAAAGCAAGTATAGTCCATCATAAATACTTGTACTAAATGAACTTTATGTAATCGCTTCAAAATATATTTTCATTACTCACTCAATAGACACGACAAATTTTTGTGCCGAGCAGTGAGTCATTTGTTTAAATTCAGAGAGTTTACTAAACGGAAGCCATGAAGATTTCTTTGTAGTGCGTTAATTTTCTATTACATGTACATTCACATGTTGCTAGATTATATTTTGTTATAATGCAGTTATTCTATACAAATTTAACAAATTTATATAAACATTGTTGAATAACTGTATGTCTGCAATAGGTATGTGCTTTGATGACTGCATATAGGAACTGCTGCTTCGTTGGACTCTTCTTGCGCCTGCCTTTATTTGCTGCCCAGTGCTTTTATATCGCATCTGTCGATATGGTTAACTATACGATGTTAGGCTAATTTAGGCCGACTTTCCGATTTTGGAGAAAATTTCACCTCTCCTTGAGAGGGGTTCAGTTATTTTGTTTGAGGCGTAACATCCAGCCGGGTTTCTGGCCGAGGAAGGTTCTGACCTGTGTTCTCATAAATCTACCCGGGGATGAAGCAGTCAGGTTAGAGGGGTCAGAGTGTAATGTAAGGAGATGTCCCTTACTGTCATCGTTTTCGCATCATGGTGTCTACGTGATCAGCTTCTAGCTGTGGATTTAGGTTTAATTCAGTTCAGCAGGCCAAATCCGTTCTCACAGCCAGCACTTGATGTCTGAAACGTCGCACAAATATCCAGAACAATGGCCGTTTCTTCAAACTGGACGCCCCTGAGAGTACTCGTACAGTTCTCTAAATCGATATCTAATCTGAATGCTTTCTGATGTTTACAGCAATCATAAAATTGATATCGCAGAATTGTCTCGTATGACCACACTTTCTTCTCAGTTCGGTATAAAATGGCACATTTTGCTATCAGTCGCGTCACGTGTTCCTTCCCAAATTCAAAATCAGTCGTCGTGCCCATTGTTAACCTGCTCAAATGCACACGGCTCCGTTAATTCATGGTCTGGAAATCTGTTAAGTGATCAGGTAATTAGTGAATAAGCCGGATGGTAGCAAGCAATGGCAGTATCACTTTCTCCAGCGAGCTTCAAGTGAAGCCTTCTATGGCAGTATTTTCTTAATGGTGCCACTTCGTCGTTACCTACTAAACAGGAAATTCACATCTACTTACACGCAGCGTCACGCCGTCTTTATACGTGTACATATATGACACTGCTGATATGACAGTACCGAGACTCAGTCCGTTAATTGTTACTTAAATCTTAATACAGAGTAACCAAATTGTACATTTCACGTGGTTTCCGTCGCCGAACGCCTAGCTTGCACTGCACTCCCGCCCAAAAAAGCAAAATCGGTTTCAATTAATCGGCTGACTTTTCAACAATGGATACAAATTACATTTCGCGGTGTTACTATACTACTAGTACTATAACAAAACAACAGAAGATTTATTTACTTCAGCCCCTTCCTGAAAATAGCAATCGTAATTGTTAAAGCACTATTCATAATCTGTTGCAATGGACAGAACTATTCGTAACTGGTACTGTGAGAACTTCAGATCATATAAATTCTTCTTATTTTAGGATCATTATGAACCTACAAGTATATGTCTTTTGGACTTGCAAGCACCATGATATGCATCACCAGTGCTCTTCATCAGCTGCTGCACTGACCAGGCGTGGACATATGAACACCACAGCCTTCTGTTAGTTTGGCAAACTTCATCTGGCAGCTTGGCTCACATCCATAGAAGCTATTAACATATGAGGTGTTCAAGGTAAAGTTAGACACTAATTTGGGCAAGACTTCCATGGTTGTTATTAAATGAAAAGGTCTAAAGCAACTGAAAATAAAGGCTGCATGCAATACACTAAAATAAAGAAAGAGAGAGAGAGAAGGCTAGTAAAGTGTGGAAAGAACTATCCAAACTTGACCATTCTGCTTTAAGGATTTAAGGTGCATGACTGACAGTGATGAAGGCCACCTGAAAATGTTTCGCATATTTGAACACTATGTTTACCCAGTGCATCTCGTTGCAGTAACAAATAAGTATTCAAAATCTGTGTTTAGTATTGCAATAAGAACACTACCTTTCTTTACTGGGAACTCTCTGGCACATATGAAGGCAGCACACCAGTCTTATCACTGCTAACATGTAGGATTGTCAACTTTTACCCAAGCTAAAACCAGATATATTCTCCCCCATCCTTAGGTATTTATGTAATACACTTTCCGGTTTTGGTAGCTTTCCTGGCTTTGAAACCAGCACATTTTTCCCCTTGATTTTGAAAGCAATTGGATAAGATTCAGCGGTAATTTTCAAGCCTTTACAATTACTGTAGTGATTTGAAATAAAAACTATTATTACAGCATTCACCTCTATTTAGGCCGAAAACCGATCCTGCCATGACACTGTGTGTGAGCTCCAGTGAAACCTCAATAAGGATAAAAGAAGTTTTAATTCACAGGACACAACCATGTGATTTACATTCATAATCATACTCAACAAGGCTAAAAGAAAAAATGTACAGGAAACTCAGAATTGTACCACCTCTAGATTTCACACAGCAACCAAATGGCCTGCTCAAAAGCATTACAAAGCATTTTGTCACTAGAAGTCATCTCAATGCCACACTTCTTACTTTTCTACAATCAACAATAACAAAAATGCAGCAACACTAGTGCCACTCACTTTAGATCTAAAATGATGTGATGATGATAAACTATGAAGAAACATGCAGCTTTTTAAGGTAATTTTTTTGTAGAACGTAAAGTAACACAGTGGCAGTGCAAACATTTTCTTTAACTTATGACAAGAACAAATGAATCATTAGGGCCACGCATGTATAATTTGGTATTGAGTTAGCTAGATAATACACAATTACAGATATCCATGAAGTACTGTTTACAGAATTTTCAGGTTACATAAAAAAAAATCTAACATATCATATACAGATCTATATTTAACATGTTTTATACTATACACGTATTGTTGTGTTTACCTGGTAACCTATTTCTGTCTCCTATATAACGCGACAAATAATTTCCTGTAGGTTTCGGATTCAGCGATTATTTATTGAACCTATGATTATCCATTAATTCACTGTTATAATCACTTCTTAAACCACTAATCTCAATGAAGACTTCTATTCCCTTCCTTTGGTGTGAGCTGGCTTCTGCTCTTCTCAGCACTACACTATTGTAAGAACTGACTGGTCTCCAAGTCCAAGTCACACTGCGACTGACGGTCAGTCAGTCTTGGTGTCGAGCCCCATTTATTTCTGCTTGGCATTTACGGTCTTGTTTCTGTGGTGCGCCCTCTCTGTCTTTTGTATATGCTGCTGGCCCTTGCCAGTGCAGTCTTTCTCGGGTCTGAGTCCTTGGGACTCGCTGCCATATTTTACTGTCTCGGATTTGAGTGGTCTCTTATAGAAGCTGGCCTTTTATACCCTCGGCTGTTGCTACACAATGAGCCTTCTGTTGCTGCATTACCATGGAAGTATCTACTCCAAACACGTTACAATATATATAAAACAAATTAATAGTAACTGTAACAGAGTTATATAAGAAATCTGAGGAAAATGGAATGTGTTCATGAGTTCTACAGTCCTCTGAAAATCTTGGCCTCCTTTATAACAGATGCCCATTCTTCCTTCTCTGTTAGATAAAGTATGTTGATTTAACCCTTCCCAAATCCTGAATCAGAAGGGCTTCTGACATAATTTTTCAGTACAGGCCCACAGTTACACATGTAAGAAGCTATCTGTCACCAACTTTATGAATTTACCATCATATTATGACTGTCAGTTAAGTGCTCTTTACACTGCTGACATCTCTTCTATTAGTTCACAAAAAATAATATGAGAAAAATTTTACATTTCCCACACCAACAGGTATTCTTAAAATGTTCTCACAAACAAATTCTAGGTGGGAGGAGGGAAGTAGGAAGTAATAAGGATGGGGATTCACCCACCTGAGAATTACTATAGTAATTGAAAATACTGATTCGTTGGGTCAGCAATATAAATAATAGGGTTAGTTTCTAGTTTAAAATCTTTTCAACCCTTTGCCTTGAGAAAATAACAATGTACGGGTGAGATTTGCATACAGGTTACATTAAAAATAACTTATTCACCATAAAAGATACATAACACAATCTGCCACGCTTTAAATTTAATTATGAATCGTCCTGAAATATTCACAAATAAATTTCACAATGAATAACAGAAATACAAATCAAACTAGAGAATGATTTACAAATTATGAGTTCAATCAAATTTTTGTCAATGAAGCCATTGAGAAGCAAACATCCTTCACATACAATATACCAGGGCACTGTCATTATCTCATATGTTAACAGTATCTCCACAAGAAATTATGCAGTGGAAACCATTTCAATGTCTGGGTCATTTTCAAAACTAAACATCTGCTCCATGGGGAATTGATGAAAACTGAATACGTTAGAGATGCCTGGCAGCTGAAGGTGTGTGTGTACAATGTTCCACATGCTTGTGGCAGATGTTTAGACGTAAGTATTAAGGAGCACAAACATAACCTGACACAAGCTCTGCTTGAAAAAACTGAAATTAGCACAACATGCATAGGGAGGGCACAATATATGTTGGAAAGAAGTGAATGTCTTGATTGAACAAAACACCACATACAGGAAATACAAGGAATCTGCCCACATGTCTCTTAACAGACCATCCAGCCTGAACATATGTCCCATCTGGACTCCCATTATCACAGCAAAATTAAAAGAACTACAACTCTATCCAGTGTAGATTAAGTGGGAAAATTTGTATTTAAGTTGGTACCATATAGAGAATTTATCTCTCCAGTGATGACTTCTATACTGACAATACAGTAGTGCTAAGTCTCCAAGTACATGTGGAGTTTTTTAAGGTTTTCATGTTTTGTCTTAACTCTCGTAAATGGTTTGTGCTGTGCTTGGTTTGTATACCCTATCTTGTGTTGGTTCAGGTGTCCAGAGATAGGGACTAGGTCTAACAATTGGGCCCATCTGAACAGGTTTCACCTGAAGATGGAGAGAGAATTCGGTCTCCAAAATGGTGTGTTTTAAAATGAAAACAGGAAGATGGATAATGTCCAGAAATGTAATACTTATATACATAGGTCGGATAAAGAGTAGTGGCAACACTTCTATAGTTCTGAAATAACTTAATACCTGAGGTAAACACACTTGCATTCCTTCAATATAATCGCCCCCCATGTGTACCACCTTCTGCTAAATTTGTGGAAGGCATCGTACACCATCAGTGCATCCACTTCTGTTGATGTCCAGCAGTGGTTCTTTCATTTTGGCAAAGAGATCATAACCGCACGGACTCATATCGGGTAAGTATGGCGGATTTTGCAGTATCTCCCATCGTCAGCGGGAAAGGAGATCCTTGACAGCATCAGTAGTATGAGCCCTTGCATTGTCATGAAGGATGACGGGGTTTGATACCAACAAGTGTCGTCGCTTTCTCCTGAGTATTTGACGAAGATGATTACGCAGGAAATTGCAGTAGTAGGCAGCATTTACTGTCTGTCATTGAGGTAGTGGTGCAGTATCAGTCCATCAATGTCATATGCCACAATGAACATTGCCTTCACATTACTCTGTGTTTTTGGACGAGAAGAGCCAGGATGCTTCCATTCATTTGATCATCGCTTCAAGTGCGGTTCATATGAGCGAGCCCAAGTTTCATCCAGAGTGACGATCCTTCCAAGGAAGTTGTCACCTTCCCTGTGGTACCGGTCCAACAAGTCCTGTGCAATTGCATAAAGTTGCCATTGTTGCACCTTGGACATTGTATGGGGTACTCAACGAGCTGCTGCAATTTTGTGGTATCCAAGAGTATCGTGCAGAATGTGGAGCACAGTTTTGTGACATATGCCTACCTCAGCAGCTAACTCCCGCACAGCCCATCAACGATTGACATCCAGCAAAGAAGCAAGAAGCTGAATTGTGTGGTTGTCAACATGGGGTCGTCCTGAATGTCATCCCTCCCTTCACAGAACAATTTCACCCATTGTGCCACTGTGCAATATGGCAAAGCAGCATCACCACATGCTTCTCGCAGTCCATGATAACAGTTTTGTGCAACTTCAATTTTTATCCAGGGGCACTGTTCTTGATTCGTAAACATGTTGTTAGGGTGCTTGAAGTGGGTGCCCGCACTTCAAGACGATGCACAATGCAACTCAATGAAAGAGCCACTCACTGCACTATTTCAACTGAACTTCTGCTATCAGCTACAGACGGTGCTAGTGCCACCTGATGCACATCTTTCATGTTAAAGCAATGTTGCCACTACTTTTTATCCAATCCTTGTATTTCTCCTTTATTGAATATCTTCTGAAATAAAGTGCCAGAACCATGCTGTCAAGCCCACATGTCACGAACTACAGCTCTTCTGACTGTACACTTAAAGCACGATTGATAAAATAAATGGTAAAAAAGTGAGAAATGAATTCACATAGATTTTGCCAAGATCCTATTATCTCTATTTCACTTCAATAAAGAAGCAAAATAACATGCACCAGAACCACCATTTAATGTTCCTCATTTCAAAGTTTTCCCTTATTCAACATCCAGATTCAATGAACCCTGTCAATAAGTTCACTGCTAGACTATGTCCATTTAAGATTTTACTCAGTTTAGTGCTCAAATCAGCTGCTCCCAGAAGAAATCTTAAATTGGGGAGTTTCATTCTAAACCAAAAATGATGTATATTTTTGTATACATAGACTGAAAAAATAAAACATTAACTGAAAAATGATTATGAAGCATTTATCACACATAAATGAAACAAACACATGTATGTCATTTTTTCTTAATTATGAATTGCAGTTTTAAGTACAAACATGCAACTTCATTTGTTACTATCCCGAATATCCATTCACCAACAATGCTTAGCATAACACAAAATTCCTGGTGATTTAGCCAGTTGATGGGATATATTTGGATATAAAATAAAGGTTAAATTTTCTTGAAAATTAAACACAACAATGAAATTCTTGCAAATTTTTATCCAGACTCAAATATATAAAGTACCACTGGAAAAAGTCAGTATCCTTCAAAATGACACTGTACCAGCGGCCTTACTGAAGAAATCATTTTCTGACATACAGACGCTCTCCTTAAGTACAGTCCAGTTCAGTAGTAAGGACGCCTTGGATTATTCTGGAAAAAGAACAGAATAACATCTGTGGTAAAAGGATAGAAAGAAAGGATGTTATAATCTGAAACAGTTCATTCAGGCTAAAAATATTACATGCATAGTATAATAGTACCACAAGATACTGCAGGTATTCTAATCTAAGTGTGATGGGCTCATACTAATGATATAAGTATGCTATAATTTAACTCATCTTACAGTCCATGAAACAGTGTACCATGTCTTGAAATCAATCCAATTGGAAGAACAGCCAATTAAATCATTATATGAAAGTTATATTATATTAAAAAGGGGTTGGGGTGGGCACAAGTAATGAAACACACATAATGTTTGTAGTTACACTTACTGTATCTATATTGTTTTGTAATATTGAGTTTACTCACACAATTTATGCACTGTATATTTAACCCAAACTTTTAGCCGCAGACTATTGGTTGGCAGGTGGCTGGTTAGACATGACAGAACAAAAAGAGTGAGAGGCTAAGAGGCACAATCTATGGAAGAATCAGTTATGTTTCCTGCTGCTGGTATATACCCTGCAGATGTTATCAGTAAGGGCTTGAGATTTACAGTCAAAATAAACATTGAAATTTCAGTAACATTTGAGACCTTAAACTTGATTGTGAGGTAAAATGTAAAGTTGTTCCTGTGCTTTATTAAATAAGCATCACATCATGAAGATGCATGGGGGAGTGGGGGTAAAGCTCCAACATTCTTGATATCAGCACTAGCTGGAGGTGAGTGGTTGGCTTCAAGCCTCAGCTGCTTTACCCCTAGGGAAAGAGCCCCCCAGTACCCATTGGATAGGAGGCTGGGTAGGCCCCAGAAATTGGTCTCAACCCTGTGGGGGAGTGGAACATCTCATGTTCCAGCTGCGAATCAAATACTGGCTGCCCAGCCCATAGAGAAGAAATTTCTAATTCCATATATGGATCAACATAGGTATGATATAGCTTCTGTTAACTCTTAATTAATATTGTATTGTAGCAGCCTGTTGCACTGTGTATTCCAATTTTAGCACTCTCGCTGTGCCATCGTCATACAGCTTCATCCACATATTAAAATTCACACTCTGAAGGCTCTTTGTCTCTTCTTACTATTTATTTAACACTACACGTGTTACAGGCAGAACATTCTACACTAGATACAAAGAACATATACAAGTAAATAGAAACAATAATAGTAATCTGGGATACTCAAGCCACATATTAAACACAGGACATACATATGGAACCATAAAAGATACACTGGACAAAATAAGATAAACAGGAAAACACTTAAAACACATTAGAAAAATACCATATATATAAAATCAGCAAAAATAACTCACATATGAATGACCCAACATTGATACACATAGCCCAATATTCAGAACACTGCAGGAAATGAACAGTTAGCAGCACATACACTCTGTCTCTCTATATAAAAACAGAACCACCACATGAAATAACCAGAACAGCTACTCATAGAACAAAGGAAAAGAAATCACCACGCTGAAAAACATAAGTAACATTACAATTTTAGGGACAAAAAGACAGTATATAACATAGTGTGACGTGTCAGTTGTATTCTGGCATTTGCAGTGTAGCATTTGTGATACTGCCGATGGCAGTAATTGTGGATCTGTAATTTGTGTGATTGTAAGAGCGAATGTGAAATAAAATTCGCTATATCAAATACGGTGTGAAGTTATCTGTCGCGTTATACACCCAACATGTGACAATATTTATCTTTTAAATACAACACTAATGTAGTTAGTTAGTTAGTTATTGGAGAGGGTGGGTTTCCCCATGCACTTAGACCTATACTGGTCCATTGTGCTTCCCTCTATGATATTCTACCAGTCTCTATATAATACAGGTACTGGTGCTTACCATTAGTCCCGCCCAGCCAGCGAGACCGGCTCTACTAGCTGAGAGGTATCTATAATGCTTCCCCCATCTACCAGAGGTATTGGAGACTGCTGTTAGAAACGTCTGCAATTTGGCTCAGTGACCTCCTTTGGAGATATGAGGTTCTTTTACGTGCCGTAAAGCTATGACACGGACTCACGGCTTAAAGTCCCTCCTGGAGAACTAGTTCCCTGAATTTTTCCGCCCTTAAAAATTCGACGACCTCCACTGGGTATTTGAACCCGCGTACTACGAGTCATGAGGTGGGAACGTTACTTCTAGACTACGGAGGCCGCTAACACTAATATAACTCATTATTACATATTACAGACACATGAAATGTGTGCTCAACAGAAATAACCATGGCACAGTTATCTAAAAAATAACAAAGTATTTTATAAGCATTTTATATTACTCCATAAAATGCAAAACACAACAGCGTAACAACAGAGCAGCAGTTCTCATCTGCAATCTTACATATATGATGGCCAGTCAGGCCAAAACATGTAGTGTTAAATAAATAACAAGGACAAAGAGCCTTCAAAGTGCGAATTTTAATGTATGGATGAAGTTGCACAGGGACAGTGGATTGAGAGTGCTAAAACTCTTAATCAACCACCATCCATTTCTTAATAAAATACAGTACCCTGCCATACACATAAAAACTGAAACATATGGGGGTTGAATACATTCAATGGATTATTCTTCACAAATGTCTTGATAAGTGAACTACAAATTTGGACAACACATGGATATCCCAGTATTTGTCATTAATGGTTAAGTTGCTGCTGTCTTACAGCAATTGCAAAATGCAACTGCTCAGATGTTTCACCCTCTCATATCTGTGGTGAGCATTAATATTGCTATCTCTGCCATTCATGCCCAGACAGACCCTGCCAGCCAAGCTCAGGGTACAGGCAGAATGTATGGCAACCAACTGAGCATGCTAGCAGGATGAAGGTCACTCCACATGGTTATTATGGTATTATCTTCATCACTCTTTAACTTTTCCTGCCTGGGAATTCACAGCAGACACTCATCTAGTGAAATTGCAGCGCCTGCAAAACAAGGTTCTCCACACCATTGGCAATTTTTCAAGGTGCACACCAGTCCGCGATTTGCACATGGCAATCAGAATCCCGTACGTATATGACTATATAACAAAATTATGCAGGAAACAAGCAGAAGTCATACAAAATAATGAAAATGAGAATGTTCGCAACATCGGACAAGGCAAAACCTGGCACAGAAAGCATAAGAGGCTTAAACTTGACAGCGGTCAGGCATATGACTGCCATGGTAGCAAATACTACTAGAAATAGGGCATAATTTGCTGTACTGAGCCTGTACTGACAGAGGCCTTGTATATATTGTACATAGAAATAGGAATTAAGATTAAATTTGTAAAAATATGTAAATACTGACAATGGACTTACTAATAAGGACCATGACTGACGAATGACAGACCTGACCTCTTGTTAGAGAGGGCGCCCCAAATGGACGGGACAGTAACTTTCATATAGGGGGGGGGATCTGGTCATGAGCCCCAGCCGGGGCTCCACACCAAGACAGACAGACTGACTGACTGTCAGTTGCAATGTGACTTGGACTTTCTTTTCTGAACATCTAAGACAGCCTACAAGCACAGAAATGGCTTACTTTCATCAATATGCTTTTCCACTTCCTTCTGTGATGATGGACTCATCCCTACTCAATAAATGCATGCGACATTTCTAGGAAAGTGAAAAAAGATAGGGGAGGAGAAGCTGTCATAAAAATAATCTGTTACTGTCAGAAACATCATGTGATGGGTGCCTTACTGTAGTCAATACAATAAGAAGGTTGTATCATTTGTATCATCTTATGTTAGATCAGCAATAATACACAATGATTTGAAAGCGTGTTAATCATCAGAAAATATGTTACAGAGCCTGATTTGAAAACGCGTTAATCATCAGAAAATATGTTACAGAGCCAGATTAAAAATTATTGTTATCAATTATAGATAAAAAAGAATGGAAATCACACTCTGTTCTGAAAGAACTCAACCTCAGTCAAGTACTGTGAAAGGTAGTATTCTCATATTTTGTTCACCACAAATTTGGTAACAGAATTTTTATTTAAAAACTGCATAAATTATGTGAGTAAATATGATAAAAGTAAAAAAAATAAAGTAAAGGTATTCCTGTAGGAGGCTGTGGAGGTCCATAGGGTTGTGAGATGTTGAGGCTCCTATGTTTCCTAGACAATCAGCTCATAGATGGCAGTAAGTTTGTCAGCCTTATGCGCTGGCCACACTTTACCCCCAGGAATATTCCTGGTACTCATTTCTGTTAAGGGCTGAGTCGAACCCCGGGCCATAGTGAGGCTGATAATACAATACAATATTTATGTGCTGATGGTGTCAAATAAATCCAGGGAAAATGTTTTAAAATACTCATATAGTTTGTAACCACACTGTATGAGTGTGCATGCGCACATCTGTGTATATATTTTTTATATGTTCTCACAACAAACTTATTAAAATGTTAAGTAAAGTAATAATAATATACATACAAGCGGGTTTGGGCGGAATCTGTATGCAAGCATCATGCGTTTCCTGTAGGCATCATATTCATCATCTCCATGGCTCACATCGTCAGGACGCTCTACCCCAAGGCCCTGGTTTTCTGGTCTTGATGATGCTCTGTAGAATGTTACAATAAATCAAACTATCACAATGTATTATCTAGACATGTGATTATCTGTTCTTGGGGACTGAGAACATTTAGAATGGACAAAGTTTACGATCACCCCTAGCAAACAGTTGAACAGTCATCATGAAGTGAGATAATACATTATGGGCTCATCTGCCCCAAGCCTTATATTACCTGAATCCCGATACTGAGCAAGCACTCACTAGTTACGTTTCTTCATGTGTCAAGATGTCATGAGTGCTATACTCATTTCAGCAAATATTGATGTGCACTACACATGTGAAATGTGGTTCTAAAAGAAAATTAAGAAGATTCTCCTATAAGAACTAATCACACAACTGTATATAAATTAAGACAGACTTTATTTTATTAAAAAAGTGTTGTCAACACACAGATTTACTGCCTTCATAAAATTTGAGGCTAATACATGAGGTTCCACTACATGATTCTAATAATGGTATATGATGCAACGTGAGTAAAGATAGAATAAATAAAGCAATTTCATTGAAGGACACAATTCTGCAAGGCATGTGCAAAATGCCTGTCCATTTTTCAAGTGGCTGACAAATGAACATTAATATGAATTCGTCTCATAAGCCTCTGCTACTGTTCAAAAAGCAATTGAATCCACAAAAGCTCTGAGGGAAGTATCTGGCGACAGAATTGTTAGCAGTAACTCCCCTGACTTCAACCAATGTGATTCTTATTTACAGGGAACTATAAAGCATAAAGTTTACAGATCAAACGCTAACACAACTGAAGAACTAAACAAAAATATCTCTTGGGATGTTCGTTGTATTTCCAAAGGAGAACTTCAATGTGTGAATGCAAACTTTTATGGAGATGCGAGGAACGTGTAAAAAAGGGACAGCATTTCCAGAATCTGCTGTAATCTGAGTAAGTTTTATTTGTAATGTGATCATGCTGCAAGTTGCTTGATTCTACTAGCAGTCAATCTCTTCATGCTGAACCTGACAGGAGGAGTCTCCGAGTTTTCTGAAGATCAACAATGAGGTGCTAAAATTTCAGTGTACTTCAACCATTTCACTGTCATGTAAAGAACAGTTCCATAATATGATAGAAGGCTGAAGCTAAGCTTCTGTCTTGTACCATAACCTTACACCCCAACTCCAATGTCCTTATTGGTCTTGGAGCCATCTGTGTGCCAGATTAGTCCTCCCTTCCTATTGGGCTGAACCCTGTCTTTACAGTCATGTGTCAGGGAATGTGACTGTGAATGGTTTGCCACAGACATGTCTCACTATCATTCTGTCAGTCCCTATCTGTAGGATGGAGACTTCTTTCATGCTGAGTCATGTACGCATGTCCAGAACCTTCAGATTTGGGTTTCAATTGTTGACTGTGGTAGAGTCTATAAATTCCTGTTCTTGCCTCAGTGGACAGTTGCAAGTACAGTGGGGGGAGTCCAAGGAGAACCTCAGTTGCAGCTGTTTGAACTGCCCTGATTGCTCCAGGAATATCAAAGCAAGCCATCCTTTGCAACTTGCTTAGTTCAGCTCTGCTTGTTTCTAATTTGACCCTAGGGCACCACACAGGGGCAGTATATGTAACTGTGAGTGTTAAAACCATGGTGTAAATCCAGTATACTACCTTTGGTTTCAGTCCCCAAGTTTTCCCAAACATATCTCTGCACATACAAAATGCCCTGTATGCTTTGTTGGCTACTCTATCCAGTTCCTATTTCCATGTCGAAGTTTGACTTGATCATTCTAATTACACTCTTCTCCAAGTATAATGAGAATGATCAAATCAAAGATGATGAGATGGGCAGGGCATGTAGCACGAATGGGGGGGCAGGACCACATATAGGATATTGGTGGGAAAGCCAGAAGGAAGGAGACCTCTGGGAAGACCAAGACACAGGTGAGTGGACAATATTAATGGATCTTGGAGAGATACAATGGGATGGTATGGACTGGTTTGATCTGGCTCAGGATAGGAACCAGTGGAGGGCTCTTGTGGACACAGTAATGAACCTTTGGCCTCCATAAAATACTGGAAAGTTCTTCAGTAGTTGCACAATTGGCGACTTCTGAAGAATAGCTCAGCTCCATGAGTGAGTGAAGGTAAGTCAAAGGTAGTTGATCACACTGAACAGCACACTGGAGGTGCATAGGCAGAAGTGTTGCAGTCCTGCACGATCGGAATTTGGAGAAATATTTGGCCTGATGTAGTTATCAACTTCCATGCCTTTCATCCTGAAGAGGGGGCCAACTCAAGGAATGCCACTGTTGATCTGGCCATGACTGCTGGATTTGAAATTGTAGATCACGCCAATGTGGAGGAAATGCTTCAGTCTCATATGGAGGAGCCCAGCAACGCAGATCTTTTGGAGTTGAGAAGTAAATAAAAGACGGAGATGATGAATCCTCTAATGTGAAGCCTGTTAACATCTTTCAACAAAGCAAATTTCAAGCATATCAACACTGCCACTGGCATAAGAGATGGTAATGATGCCAACATGGACAGGTCTGCAAAGTTACTAGTGACTGGGAGTGCTATGGCTTGCTACAAAGAACTCTATAGTGAGAGGCAAAAAGCTGCAAGTCATCTCTCATCAATCCACTGGCTCTGCAAGTGACCTGGTCCAGCATGAATGTGTTCCACATTCGCCAGCATCTTTTGAGTCATCTGACTGAATTATGTATATTTGTTGTTGATTAATGTTATGTGATTGGATTCATGAAGTGAAAATAACTGTATACGGCCAGAGTAGCCGAGCACTCCAAAGCATGTACTGTCTTTGCTTGCCTGGAAGCCGGGATCATGGGTTCGAATCTCACACAAGACATGGATGTTTAATGTGTCTGTGTGCATTTATTCTGTGTTTGTGTTAACCTGTGTTGAGGCAGAGGCTTTGCAACAAGCTGATCACCCATCCAAAGAGCCCTATGGTCTATAAAAATGATCACGAAACTGAGAAATTAGCTCTATGCATCAAAAGTGGGAGTGAGAGGAAAAAAAATGTTGTGTATATATATAAACCCCGAATTTCATTTTTGTATTTTGGAATGCATCTCTATTACAACCATCTTAAAAATAATTCACTTTGCATGTTTTTGCATTACACGGCAATTTCTTGGAACCCATTAAATTGCATATGATGAGGGATATCTGTACAGTAATTTCAATGACAGACATGAGCTTCTCACAGTGGTGAGTACGAAGCGTAAAGTCTTTTGATTCTGAGCTTCAATGTCAAAGAGCAAGAGTGAGCAAAGCAGCTTACTACCTGCTGCTGCTGGTTTCTTGCTTGGTTTACCCTTTGCCCATGGAGATGGAGGTGACACGTTCCTCGGAAATGTCAGGCTTTCTCCAAACTAGACAGGGCTACAATACAGAATACTCCACTCTTTAAGAAAATCAATGCTTTTATCAGAAGAAATAATACTTACCTACTTCCTGATCAACACTGCTGTTTACTCATCAGTCTGACTCCACTGGAGTATAATCATCTGCATTACGTGTAAAATGCAAAGCTAAAAACACATTTTAGAAATAAAACATGACCTACCCCCCCATTCTCATGAACACAGAAAATATGAGCAACACCTAGGCATTATGGTGTCATGGTGATTGGAAATTATTTTTCTGTACCTACCTTTTGGGGGTTCCAGCAGAACCTATGTTAATGGATGTCAGATCACAGTTATAAGCCTACAATGCCAGCAAGAACTTACTTGTTAACAGGGTCAACAATGCCATGTCCCTCTGAGCCAAGACCTTGACCCTCTGTCCAGCCTAACTTCTGAAGCATTTGAAAGCCAATGTTATCTTCTTTTAACTTGAATTCTTTGTAGTCTGAGAGGTCAGGCTCACGTCCTTCCTTCAGAGCATTGTACTGAGAAGAATAGAAAAATTACTGAAGCGAATGGAAATATGTGGATTCAGAATTTACATCACAATTATTCATGGAATATACATCTGAACCTTGAATTGTGACAACCTGTTGCATGACACCACATAATTCATTTTATAAGTGTCAACACAATAACTTGTCATAACAGATCTTAAGACGAATTATTATTTGCATATTTAGAGTGTTAGATTCTCCTCTAATACAACATGGTAAAACTGAAATTATGAATTTAATTGAGATGCAATTAAATTGCCAACCTCCACATTCGAAAACAAGAAAAAATGTCCTTATCAACATGTGCCTGCAAACTTTTTATTTCTGAGTTAAATGTGAAATAGGACAAATGAAACAATAAACCAAACTGACTTACCTTCCTACTTTATACATGGCAACATCTAAATATAATACAAGTCTCCATGCACCTTATGATGCATAAAATATATGGATAAAAATATAACATTAAGATTAGTATTTACTATTAAAAAGCCCTTCAGTGAATAAAAAGAATTCAGCAGAAGGTAATTTTTTAAGTATTTTTAACTGTATTCTTACCGTTTAACGATTTTTTATGTAAGAAGGTAAGTGATTAAATGCCTTACAATTATCATGTAGTATTTGTTAAAAAAGATGCATGCATACACAACCTACCCATTCTCACATGCATGTGTACCCATATCTAACTGGTCACCTCATGGGAAAAGTCGAGTAACATGCTAAATCCATTATGTCACATATTTCATTCAACCCTCATCACTAGTAGTAAAATTCTGTTAGTGATACCATACATCTAACAGCCATATCCTAACTGCAGATATGTAAAGTGTTCTGGTAGAGAACTGGTAACTACAGAATTTTATAGGTTTCATATAATTATTATAATATGGTTGAGTACATGTACATCTATTATGTGAACGTTATACCATTAACACAAAAGGGTCTGAGAAAGCTGGCTCAAGTGGTAACACTTCTGTATTTGGGAGAAGCCCCATTTGAATCTCAGACAAAGCGCAGGCTATTCTGCATAAAGTTTTCTCAGAGTCTTCCTCAGTCCTCACAGGAAAAGTCCAGGAGAGTACTGTAATTTGTAACAACTTTCCTCTTCTACATCTTTTCCATGTTATTCACTATATCTAGCCATTTGCATTACATAGTCTGAGTTAGTTATGTTGTTAATTGAAAAATAAATATAAAACAGAACATTTAACATTCACTTTCTATTATAAACCGAAAATGCTGACATTTACCTTTTCAAGAAACCTCTCCAACTCATCTGGTGGCAGGAAGTCACCTATGTGATGTTTGCCTTTGGCTTTCTCGGTCAGTTCTTCAGCCCAGCGTTGGGTGGCCTCCATTTCTTGTAATCGCAAACGATGTTCCCATGTACCTCCATCAGTCTCTTCATCACTATCATATTCATATTTGAACTTGCCTGCCCGCTGTAGGCGCTCCAGTTCCTGGCGCTTGCGAAGCATATCTTGATACAACAGATTTATCTGTACACAACACATACATACAATGAAACCACACACAAGTCTTTGCATAATCACAGCATTTGTAAACATAAGATACAAAATAAATATGACATAAGGAAATGAAGAAAAATTACAACATATTCAGTTTAAAAGCAAATGAGCAGGAAAAGGAAGATGGAATGAGTAAACTGCAAGTTTTTTTTTTAAATATAATACAGTCTGGAGTTTTAAAACTTTGGAACTCTAAAGTTTTAAAAGATTTAAAGAGGCAATATATTCTCACAATATTTAACCTGGATAAGAAAAGTGAATGATACAGAAAATAACCATAATTTGTAGAATTAACTTCCATCTTCACTTTGATTTCCTTTGGGTTCTACAAAAACTCTCTCAGACTCAACTACATTTTTAATAACAGTGTAACTGTGATGGAATGAGTATGGTCTCCATCATCGTAGTGAGCAAAATTATCAGCACCATCAGCTCTTTAACATTCAAGGAAAACTGCATAAAATAAGAGCCTTGTCCCAGCACCTTCGCCATAATGAGCCTCAATTCCTCCGATATTTTTTTTCAGTGACTGTATTTCCAATTTTGCTTCCAAAGCTATTTACAGTTGGCAGCTCATAAAGGTACAGATAAAACCCATCACTTCTGCTTCTTCCTTGTCTACTTGGAACTATGGCTTCAGAGAGTGCCATCAGTACAAGCTCTAATTCATTTCATTATACATATCAATCTCAAAATTACATTATACTGTACAAGGTAGGGCTTCACACTGTAGATTAGGTATCTACATGGTATTGCATTATAACAAATAAATTTCTTTTCCAATACAACAAAATTATCTAATTCAAGTAATCATGAATGTAGCTGTGCTGAGGATGTAAGGAAGCCACCAGATAGTGCTGCCAGGTTGATGGTGGTTAAAAATCAGATGATAAAGGTTTGCTATACTCTCCTGCATGTAACTTGGCAGGTCACCTTGGATGTGCAGTGACATTCATGGAACTTGCTCTTTTGCAATGCAAAATTCTATTTACAAAATTAAAGTGTTACTCTGAATTAGTCTGTAGAGTGTTGGTTGCAAATATTTTTTATTGTAATTTTGAGAACTGAAAGCCAGCAAGTATAGCACAGGCCTTATGCAAACAAGCTGGAGATGTAGTTTTTAAGATGTTAGCCACTTTCAAGTATGAAGCAGACTGCAGAGGCCCACTTCATGGTGTCTCCATGTGCTAAGAAACAATAGCAAATGCTTGTGACATAACACTGTCATGGAAGAACAATCCTTGCTTATTACAGAGGATGTATGAATTTTGAATCACTGGGTAGAAATTGGTAAAAACTGAAAATGTGATAAGTATGATTAATTTTGAGACAATGTACTGCAATTTGAAGTTTCTGCTTTATATAAGAGAACTTTCTCAGTTAAAGAACTAGTCATTGAAATAAATGAAGCTTTTAGAATTTTATATTAGTGGGACATCAATGTTAAGAACTGGAAATCTATAGGCTCTGAGTATGAAGATGCAATGAAGACAGAAAGCTGCTGATGGAACACTGTGATACTGCAGCCACAAGGTAAATGTTTTTAAAAAGAATGCATAAAATTAGTATAAAATATGGTTTTGAGTAGCATTGGGGGTTGAAACCAAGGGCAATTCTGCTGGTGAAGGTCAGAAGAAAATTACTGCTGCTCTGCATGAAATTAAACAAACAAGGGCTGCAAATGTATACTACTTAGAAGAAACCTGAGTGAATGAAAACCACTCTCGCAAAAATTGCTGGAAAATGAGTGACAGCTCAGGTAGACAACAAGTCCCTACTGATAAAGATGGTGGGCTCAAAACATATCATGTTGGATCACCTGGAGGAGGTATCATTCTGGAATACATATTAAGTTTTCTGTCAAAATCAAGTAGTAATACTTATTACCACAAAGACATGAATGGAAATTTACTTAAAAAGTGAAGAAAGTAGTCTTCTGGGATGTGGCGCCATGTAGATGTGGTGTTAACCGACATTTCGAAGGAATGTATCAACTCCATCTTCAGGGTAGAAGGAAAAAAATAAGAAAATCCGCAAGCAAAGAAACAGTGAGAGCAGGTGCAAGCAGACTGCTTGTGATACGTTCCTCCGAAACATCAGTTAATACCACATCTACATGGCGCCACATCCCATAAGACTGCTTTCTTCATAGTCACCACCGTGGAAACATCAACTCTTACATACTTAAAAAGTGGTTTCAAGAACAGCTGTTACTATCCTTTACTTCAATGCTGTCATTAATACTGTCACGTGTAGGATGGAACGCACGACAAAAATTACAGGTTCTAGTTCAGATGATTGGATTTATTAGCACTTCAGTTACACACATTTTCTTGATCGTCATCTCCTAGAAACGGATCTCAACACAGAAACTGTCACTACAAATATTACACATAAAATCTTCCAATCGCAATTTACATTTGTCACAGTCTGACATCCTGTATTCTTCTGTACTCTGTTTGCATGCTTCTCTCGTGACACTTAACTAACTCTAACTCTTAGGAATTCCAGTTTCTCCTATAAACCCTCAATTGGATGAGTGGAAAATGCAGCTTGCCCTCCACTGTGTAATCGCTGTGTTTACAGATTTCTGTGGCTCAACTCCTGCATGGCTCAAATATGCCACAATATAGATTATTGCAGCTATCACATTCTGCTGTGCTGGTGAAAACAACTACAAGAAACAAAGAAGTTGTGTTATAGCTTGGCTTTTCAGCAAACACATTCCAAAAACAGCTTTACAGACATGTCCAGAATTACTGCAATTGGTGAGAATATATTATGTTTACCCACTTACAAATACTAATACAATCCCAATGAACTTGTGTGGACATTAGTGAAACTATATCCCGGAGAAAGAAATAACACTTCTAAAACTGCAGAAGTTGAGACACGTGTTATCTCATGAGCCCACAGACAGCACCAACACCCCAGTTTTAAATCTGTGTCCAAAATGCAGAAAACCTACAGCAATGTGAAAAAAAAAAAAGTGCAAGACCAGGTTATGGAACAAATGACTGTCAGCCTGACAGAATCACATTCAGATGGTTTGGTGATGACCTCTATTAGAGTACATGTTAATAAAAGTCATTAATAACATTGTATGAACAAAAATGATGCCAAATTAAATGTTTATACGTTTGATAACATGCAATCTGAGTAATCTCAGTATAAAATGCAGAGCAATACCAGAACTTAGTAGCTCTGTTATGCTTGGCATGGTCAGCCCCATCCCATATGCAGGCTGCTATAGATTGTATCAATACTGCCATACTAACTGCATACTTTTCTTACCTACTTTTTTATTACATTACTGTATATTCATTAGATGGTATATGAAATCAACTGAAAAATTATACAGAATAGTTAGTATGCATTTTTGTGAGGTTTTCTTGAGAGGACATACTTTTTTAAAAGAGGATGATACTCTCATGGGCTGCACAAAACCAAATGGTGGATACCCATGTGCTATGAGTTGGACAGACCTGGCATACGGCATTGAATATTTCGCATACAAAACAAAACAAACAACAAAACATTACTTTGTAATGATCCTCTGCCTTCTTCCAGTCTTCCTCAGACAGGTTAACTGTGCCAAAAGCCTGCGCAGCATACTGGATAAGTGCAGGATCTGTACGAGTAACTTTACTGAGCAACTGTGCAGTGCCTGCAGGTGCTGCTCCTAGAGACAAAACAAAGTGCAACAAAACTCGTGTACTTCAATAATTTTTCGAATTCTTTATTTATTTACATGCTGATTCAACAGAATAATGGCCAATTACAGTCAACACAAGTATAAAAACAATTCCATGGAGCTGAGCCCTTCTTGAGAAAGATCCAGTTATGCAGCTACTCAAGAATTTACCAACATTTTCTGGAACACAAAGTATGATTACCGTGTTCACAAAAGCCCTCCACTGGTACCTATCCTGAAGCAGATCAATCCAGTCCATTCCACCCCATCCTATCTCTCTTATGATCCACTTCAGTAAGTTATGAGGGCCTCTTTATCACCATGGCATGGCACATCCTAAGGTTATGGATGGAGACAGCCTCCAAATATGGAGCGTAGCTGTGAGCATATTGATTAAGCAGTCACCAGCAGCCAACAAGGGGTGGTCCTCCAACTTGGGTGTTGGGCATGGGGCTAAAAATCCTCACCATAAAATAACAAGTTTCTTACAAGGGACAGTAAGTGAGAGAAGTAACTGAATATAGAGAAGTTTCTTATCCCTTTTGAGCACAAATACAAAACTACTTCTAGCACAGAACAGCATTTAGTGACATTACAGGCGTTAATCAGAAAATAGACATGTAAATAGCAAACAACATTTGGTGTGTAATGTCTGAAAATAATACAAGTCTGAGTATAACAAACACTCTATTGTAGCATAGACTTGCAAACTTTCTTGTATGGGCTGAAACTTAGCCCCCACTGGTCCCTATATTAGTCAGTAACAGTTATAGACTTCCATGCAACAGAAGTATATTCAAGATCAGACCTGTTCATTTTCCCTAGTGAAAGAAGTAACCATACTTTTGTTAAGGTTAAGATTCATTAATCATAGTGACAGTGGTACTTGTAGTGATGAACAAGAATAAGAAAATAATGTAGGATTGAGAGGGACATGGCAGAATATAGGCTTATCTTCTGTTTCATGAGAAACGTTTTGTGATGTCTGTCCCCCAGTTCAATATTGCTCAACTACAAAGGATGTGAGGTTCCTACAGCTGTGTGACTATCAAGAGTTGTATACAACACCATGTAGCCTTTTGAAAATCAGAGATGTTTTGGAGAAACATGTTGATTCCATCTTCATGGTCAAAGAATAAGGAAAAACAAGAAACCAGCGTGAAAGCAGGTGGCAAGTCTGAAATGTCAGTTGATTTTCAACATACTACATGGCATCATAATCCAGAAGACAGAACTCTTGACTGCTGAACTAGACGTCGTGAGTGCATTTCTAACCTTTTTGCTATCACTCACGTGCCACTGATAACAAGATACGGAGCCTGGCTAGAAGCAGTCAACATCTACAGCAAAAATTTTTAAGCTGTGAATTCAATTGTGGCCAAGTTCCCATCTGAGCCTGCTGTTCTGGTGCATGAATCCCAGAGTGCATTCAGTGACCCAAAAGTGGCCTGTTCAACTGCCTACATCTGAAGCAATTTTGACTGACTTCCAGAGACTATAAAATGCTGAGGAACCCACGGACTTCCTCTGCAAGAATCTATGGACATAACGAAAAATGTAAGAGAAAGGCTTACTGTTGTGAAAGGGGAGGCTGGTGAAAGCGTGTCCAACAAGGAGGAGGTGGTCTTAAAAAGAAACTCTCGATTTTCGACATTTATCAGTGTCCAGTACTTAAGGGAAAGATATACGAGTAGATCACCCTGAAGACAGTGTTCCTGAGAAAATTCCTTTGTTAAAATAAGCACCTGTGATGCAGAAAGATCCTTTTCAGCCTACAAACACATTCTATTAGATAAAAGACAATCAATGACCCCAGAAAGTATGAAAAAGTTTCTGTGTATTGTGCATAAAAAAATCAACGAATGTGCCAAAGGACTGTAAATACAGGTTGCCTGCACACCTAAATATTACTTTAATGTAATGCTCCATATTTTACTATAATTTTGGAGATTTTTGTTATATAATTATGTACATATTTTGCATGATGACACTACATAAAAATCCTAGCTCTAAACATTACCACAGACCACTCCCAACTGTAATATTTAAACGCCCATGCTGAGGGTTCATGAAGAATAGGTCTATATAGAGTTCAGACTGTGTAAAAATTATATCTAATTCAGTATAAAGACTTCTTGCCAAGATGCATATTACCTAAAAGTGAATATGCACATGTGAATTTAATGTTTATTTTAAGGGAAGAGTTCCTCCTAGTCAGCCAAATTGCAGTGATTACAGGATCCATGCGAACTAAATGGGGATACCTGAACAATATAAGACACGAAACCAGCAGGCATTTCAGGAATAAAAGAAAGACAAAACTGATGAGCTTGCAATGAACAGTAAGAACAAGAACATTATAGACCTGTATAGAGGAATAAATGACGTTAAGAGGGGTTACCTACCTAGAAATAACTTGTTGCAGGATGAGAATGATGAGCTGCTTGCAGATTCCCACAATATTTTGAACAGGTGGAAGAATTATTTCTCTCAGTTATTGAATGTACATAGGGTCAGTAACGTTAGACAGATATAAATCCATACAGCTGAGCTGTTAGTACCTGATCCTAGCCCTTTTGAGGTTGAAAGTGCTATTGCAAAATTAAAATGGTATAAATCGCCAGGTAGTGATCAAATTCCGGCAGAAATTATTCAAGCAGGAGGCAAAATATTACAGTCTAAGATCTACAATCTAATTACTTCTATTTGGTATAAGGAAAAACTGTCTGATCTGTGGAAGAAGTCTATTATTTTACTAGTTCTTAAGAAAAGGAATGAAATTGACTGTAGTAATTATTAGGGGATATCATTGCTATCAACTGTACACAGAATTTTATCCAATATTCTTTTCTCAAGGTTAAGTCCACATATAGATGACATTATTGGTGATCATCAGTGTGGGTTTCGACGCAACAGATCAACTACTGATCAGATCTTTTGCATTTGTCAGATACTGGAGAAAAAATGGGAGTACAATGAGACAGTACATCAGCTATTCACAGACTTCAAGAAAGCCTATGATTCAGTTAGGAGGGAAGTATTGTACAATATTCTGAGAGTTTGGGGTACCCATGAAACTAGTTAGCCTGGTTAAAATGTGTTTAAATGAAACATATGGTAAAGTCCATATGTTTGATACCATTCAGTCCAGAATCTTTTGTCTTCTTGTCTGCTGTCAAAACACATAAAAATTAGAATATACATTAACTATAATTTTGCCTGTGGTTCTGTATGGGCATGGAACTTGGTCTCTTACATTAAGGGAGGAACACAGACTGAGGGTGTCTGAGAATACTTGGACTGAAAAGAGATGAAGTGACAGGAGACTGTTGAAAACTGCATAATGAGGAGCTTCATAACTTGTACTCTTCACCATGTATAATTAGAGTGATCAAGTCAAGGAGGATGAAATGGGCAGGGCAAGTAGCATGAATTGGGATGATGAGGAATGCATATATTGCTGGGAAAGCCAGATGGAAAAAGACCACTGGGAAGACCAAGATGTAGGGGGTTAATATTATAACAGATCTTAAAGAGATAGGATGGGATGGTATGGACGGGACTGATCTGGTTTAGAATTGGGACCAGTGGAAGGATGTTATGGACATGGTAATGAACCTTTGGGCTCCATAAAATGTTGGAAAATTCTTGAGAAGCCACACAGCTGGTGTCTTCTGAAGAAGGGCCCAGCTCCGAGAGTGAACGAGTTCCTCCTAGTCTCAATTATTTCATTTACAATTCCTTCTGCTGAATGCTCAAGTTAAGTGTACACATATTTTTACAGTCTTACTTTAATTTTAACTTGAGGAAAAAGGTCATTTAATACACAGGTAAATATGGTACAATCTTGACTCTGGTAAGATAAACATCTGAAATTAGAAATGATGGAAACGGGGACCAGTGATTTCAACTCACAACTCTCTGTCCAAAATCCTACATACCTGATATTACAGCAGGAACTGGCTGAACTATTTCCTGGGGTATGGTGGTGGCAGCACCAGTTTCAGCCATGGCAGTGCCAAGTAAGACAGGCATCTTTTCAGTTTCAGGAGCCCAGCGACTACGCCGTTTACGTCTAGGACGTACATTTGCCTCACCTTCATCACTCTCATCTCCAGACTGCTTACCAGAAACTAAACAGGAAGGCATCATCAGTTTGCTTGTAAATTAAAAAAATAAATAAAATCTTATAACACAGAAATATACAAGACAGATGTAAGTACTTACCAATGTAAGAATCCAAAGATGACAAACATTAGGCAAGTGTGAGTCTAAAAAATGATTTATTTTGAGTCTCTAGTTTCCTAGTACACAGGATATCTTTCACAATTTATGAGCACTTTTCCAAAATGCTTAAATAACCTACAAGTGCTGATAATCTAAAAGTATCTTACTTTTGTCACACAAACACTGGCTCATAAACAGCTTGTATTTATAATAATCACCACATTATGAGGGTATACACCGGGAGTTGAAGTAAAGCTGTGTGCATGCTGAACCAGCTGAAATAATAATTTTACCAATTTTGATTGTAGGAATAGAACAATATAGTAAAATTTAATCAACTGAGACCTAAGTGTGCTGCTAGTGACAGAACAGTGGTAGTTAACTGCATGACCATTAAGGTAACTTGTTTATGCACTGCGAGAAATGTTTGAAGACAGAAATGGGTCACTTCCAACATTCTTGTAAAACATTACAAGTTCATGTCATCATTTTACATCAGACAATAATGAAGTTCTGTGTAAGGAAAGGGAGTCAACACTACATGCAAGGAAGCCCCCTGCACTACTGCCTCTACAGTCATGCAGTAAACTAATACTGCGCTAGTACTAGCAGCACATTTCCATCTTAACTGAATGCCCTACAGCAGGTGGAGCTACAGAAAAAGATAAATATGAGTATATAGAACAGCAGCTTTCTAAACTTCCAATGGCTTAAAAAATGTGCATGGGTATCCACAAATCAAATAATCCATTCATGGATAGTCAGAAGTGGTCTCTAAGATATTAAAATGTAAATATATATATCTGATACCTAAATTGCTGACAACCATCATTATATTAAAGTTTATATGAATACCTTCACTATGATGTGAATTGTCATCTTCCTGATCTTTTCTGCTACTTCTTGCATTTTCCTGCTTGACTGGAGTCATATCATCGGGATGCTCCCTTTTTGTGGATGCTGTGATCACTGAACTGCTCTCTGGCTGGAAACTAAGAGGAGCATACTCATCCTGCTCTTGCTTCACACATGCTGTTGGTTCATCTTTTACTTCACTGTTGGATGCATCCTCACAAATGCTTGTGCTCTTCATTTCCATTCGGAACTTTTCCACTAACTGTCGGTACTGCAGATATGCAGGGCATTCCTTATCACTCAGAAACCTGTATAAGAAAATTAAGACAGCTTCCTGCTTTAGCATCAAAGTGCATCTAACAAATCAATTCTAGAGGGTTCTGATGATGGTGTTACACTGGGCCTTGCAGAGTTTCTGGACTTTGCCCATCACCTAGTATTCTAACTCTTTCCCATCCACCAGCACACTGGGTATGCCATTTGTATTTCTGCCTGTTCTAGTCCTATGGCTTCAAGGTTACTGAAACTTAGCAAAGTTTCTTCCATTTTATGAAGCTTATAATGAAAACAAACCATTTCATAATAGTTAAAATTACATAGTCCAGTGGCATTTGAATGAACCAGTAGAGAGCTATAGCTGTATTTAAATTTGACTGGAAAGGGCTAAAGAACACAGCATTTCAGAAACTGGATCTGCTTCCATCCTAGGGTGAAAGGGTGGAAGGCACCTACTCTGATGAGTCTGTTGAGAAGATCTACCCTCAATCAATGGACCACCTATGTCATTATATATATGCATCCATATATCATCTACATCACAATGAGGTTAGCAGCTTATAAGGAAGTTTGGTATGATTGTACACACTCCTCATAGGTATGTATGAGTTTAGTTCTAAGTTTCAGATTTTGTTCCACAGATGGTACTACCAGTAGGTAGGTTTCGTAACACATAGTAAACTTCAGTATTCCTTCTGCATTTAAATCCTGGATTGGTTGTGGGTATGTTTTGATGTATTTATTTTCTGGTTCATTTTTACATTCCAGATTTTTATATGTATTTCTATAATTTTTATTGTACATTTTTTCTTGTTATCTCCCTTGACAAATCCTGATCTCAGGTGCATACACAGATGTAGTTATAGTGACACAGATCATCCAGTGACTGAGGTTAGCTCTAATTAACCCTACAGAACAGGTACTTCCCACCTGACAATGGACCAGTGCTACTGCAGCCGGTACCATTTGATGGTCTAAGCACATATGTGCACAATTATGTGAAAGAAAAAGTAGAAAAACAGCTGCCTCTGTGGTCCAGTGGTCAGAGTTCCTGGCTACAGATCCAGAGGTTTCTGGGTCAATTCCCGGTGCTACCGGATTTTCTGAGAAGTAGTGGGTCTTGAACGGGGTTCCACTCAGGCTCATGAGGATAACTGAGGAGCTACTTGAATGGAAAAGTAGCCGCTCCAGTCTCGGAAATCGAGATTAACGGCCGTGGGAATCCATTGCGCTAACCATGCAACACCCCTCTATCTGCAAAACTTGGCACTAACTTTGCTAACGAGAGGTGGTTGCTTGGTGTGTATAGTTCGATTGTGGACTAAAGCTATGGCATTCACTTTTTTTAAAGGTAGAATATCACTGTATAAATCATGGGTTACTAAAGAGAGAGCTTCTACAGTGTAACATTTATATCCAAAGGTGTGCACTGCAGTTACGGCGTGAACTTTTAATATACATGAAGCATGAGGCACAGCCAACAATTTCACTACAGCTCAAAATTTTAAAGTAAATGCCTGCTACTAGGAGAAATCAAAGTAACAATCTGAGTGTGTTAAGTTCATGCAAAAAAAAAGGGGGGGGGGCTCAAACATGGGCAATAAAAAGATGTTGAATAAGTGCTCAAAAAACAAAAACCTGGACCCCTGTGTCACGGGAGTCTTGGATATGACATCTTCATGCAGATACTGCAACAGACCTTCACGGCAAGTGTCGAACAGAATGCAAGGTTTACGTGATCAGATGGTCTATTCATAGGTGAACAATATCAAATAAGAAATTCCCCATGGCCCAGGCTGAGCAGTTGCATACCAGAAGATTGTGCCTAGTCTGTGCCAGAAGCATGAATACCTTGAAGCTCTTTGATTCGCCTGTCAACTCCACAGTCCACAGAACTATAGGTTCAAAATTTGTAGTGGCAAATCTAATGGCTATGAAATACTTCAGAATGACTGTAATGTTCTCTGTATTGACTGATGGGAGGCAGCTGATACCCTCCGTCAGTCTTAAAATCAAAATATGCTAAACGAAAACTATTCAGTAGCACTGTATTCAAATGCAGTGACATATACTGGAGAAGTGGTTGAAGGATGTCTGGAACAGAGGGCCAGGTGCTCTTTCATACAAGAGAGGAGTACTTTTTCTTGATGCTTTTTGGAGACACGTGACAGAAAAAGTAAAATTCAAAATCTATCAGCTGTATATAGATCTAGAGATCACACCTGGAGCTTCAGGTTTTACTGTCACAGTTAACAAATAATTTGTGGAATGTCTGGATTGCCTTTATGGGGACTCCAGTGGGGAAAATATGGAACTATCTGAGGCACTGTTTAGGAATAAAACAGACTACAGGGGGAGGCATCTCATCTGTATATCTTTGTCAAACAGCTTGGATGGAACAGAAGATAACATCCTGTGGGAGGCAGGTGATGATGCAGCTACTTCTTTGTATGACGAAGAAGAAAGTTGGGCTGACGGTAACAACTGGACACGGAGTAACTTGACCTTTTATCCTTGTTTTTAAGTAAAGCAGTTTACACAGTATTACTTGGTATTCCTCTGCGCTTGTGTATTAACAAAATGTGTTAATATTCACATATTAATAACCACACAAATACTTAAAACACCACTGTTTATTTACTTATAGACAGCATAGCACAGTGAAATGCAGACCTACCCAATTCTAAAATTGATATAAAAACGATTTCCTTAAAATTTTAACATTTTAAGAGAGGGGTGTCTTATATTCAGGTATATATTGTACTTATGTATACAAACAAAGCATTAGAATAAACCAAGGCACTTGGCGAATTACTCACCACAGTGAGGGATCATCCGGATTGCGTACAAGTATAATCTGCTCTATGTCATCACCACACTGGGCCACCGTGCGAGCCAAATGGTTCCTGGCCTCATCTGCAGCTGGATCTGCTGGCGCATCACTAGACTGTCCACCGTTTGGCCCTCTGGCCTGCACCACTCCCATTGCTGCTGGAGAGACTAGTAAACTCCGGTCAACACAGCACCATCCAGTTTCTGTCTGGCAGTCTCACTCGAAGTAGAATATGATCAAGAGAAATGCCTACCCAAGCTCAAGCATGGGTGAAGCTCATCTGTTAATTACCTCCAGTTCCAGAAGAAGTGCAGATGCTGGGGACTGCTGCAGGTTGTGGGCAGGCAGGGGCAGAAGCAGCAGGGGGCAGGCGTAGAGGAGGAAGAGGGTGTTGCAACAAGGGTGCCATCAATGTGGGCAGAGGGGTTGGGCCCAAAGCTTGCGTCTGAAGGACTCCAGGCAGTGGCACTGCATGATGTTGCAAGAGTGGTGGAGGATGCTGCATGAGATGAGGAGGCAGTGACTGTGAGGATGGTTGTAATGAGGGCAGGGGGTGTTGCATTGTTGGCGGTGGCTGTGGTATGGCTGGTATGACTGGAGTTGAGGCAGGGTGGATGCTCAATGTAGAAGCAAGGGGTGGTGGGGTAGGAATTGTATGAGGTTGCATGGGTGATGGTGGGGGGATACTATGCAGAGGAGGTGGAGGGGAAGAGTAGGTAATAAACTGGTGTTGAGGTGGGTTAAGGAGAGGCATGATGGGGGAAGGACGAATGCTAGGAACTGAGTACTGAACTGGACCCTTACTTGTAGATGTTATGTTTATGGGTGGAACAGCTTCCTTGTTCTCTACAGTAGCACTAGATGGAGAGTAAGGAGAGGAGGACCTGTTGGGGGCAGTAGTACTAGAGCAACATGATGGAGGTGAAGGTGAATCCTGCCCACGCCAAGCTGCCCCAGTGTCATTCCGCCCCTGCTGCTGCCATGAACCACTACTGATGTGCTTTTGTTGAAACCAATGTGATGTGCCCAGACGTTCACTGTTGCGCAGATCTTCATTCTTGTGGTCTGTGTCCTGGTCCTGATCCTGGTTCCTATCCTCATTTCCCTGCTGGTCCTGACTGGTATGGAGTTCAGCTCCTTCACCATGGGCTTCTTCCTTCTCAGCCTGTTTCTCAGTCGGTGGACCCCACGTGCCCCAGTCTGTGTCTGAAGCAAACAATTACATGTTAGGTTCTAAAAGGTTCTGGTGATGGTGTATAATGCTCAGAATTACTGGACTGAGGTTACCTCATTCTAAAGGACCCAACACAGTAGGTGTTTCCCCTCTCACTTGAGGATGGAAACAGATCCAGTTTCTGAAACATTTTGCTTTCTAGTTTTTAGAATACCGGGCAATGAACCAAGCAAGGAAAAAAAGAGATATATAGAGAGAGAGAGAGCAATTCTGAGAATTACAAGTTTAAAAGTAATTTCTGACATACTTAAAAGGCAGTTTACTTAACAATATTTCATCAACTGTTCATTATGTAGCAAAGAATGAGACAGGGTAGGATGATTGTACACTGGGAACTAAGACAGATATTAGAAGCACTATCATATAGGTATCTGCCTGGATGGACTGAGGACAATTGCTCGAGACCCCAGAATATCCAGTCTGTCCAGGCTGTGAACCAGGTATCACCTTGAAGTGAGAGGCATACTACTGTGCCAACCCCAATCACTGACATGTAGCTCTCAAATGTCTAAACTGAAGAAATAACTGGACACATTATAAAGTCACTTCTTTCATACATCTGGTTAATCCCAAGAAGTTTCTGTCAACCCCTAGTAGTTCAATTAAAATACTTGTAGCATTGTACTGGTTAATTTATATTCCATTTGTAGTGAATAATTTTCTGTTTACTTCACAAGTTCTTATAAACAGAAGTGTTAGTGCTTAAATTAAATCCCTACCAGCAGTGCATCCAAGTAACAGTGCACAGACATTCTACTGCCTTACTGTCTGGCAGAATCAAGACTGAACTACATTCACTGTTTTCACTTTCTCACATACACAGCATATCTGAGAAAGTACTCTGATGTGGGGGGATTCAGAATTTAATGGATTTACACATTTCAAGCCCGCGAATATGAAAAAGTGATTTTTGGTGTGCATGGATGTGCACCTAACTAGTGCCTGAACAACTGGATGGATTTAATTCACATTTGGTATTCATGGGTTTATCTACCACAGACAGGTTTCTAGTAAATATGAACATTCTAACTCCAAAAATATGAGCCCTTGAAATGGGCTCATAAATCAATATGACGACCTTCTTGAAAATAGCTCAAACAATTTTGATCAAATTTCAGTACATTATGGGGACAATTTTCCTAAATAAATATGTGGCACCTTCAGAAACAGTGATATGAACACTAGAGGCCTAAATGCAAAATGTTAATTTTGTCAAATTCATCTTTATTGTTGGTATGGATTAACTGTTGTTTTGTATTCAGTAACCAGCAATGGTCTACTAAGCAACAGTCTTATTTAATTTCCACTGTAACACAGTCAAGGTCAACTGTACAAGAGATGTTCAGTGTCTGCACTGACTTTTCACATTCTGTGTTTATCGTGGTTACACACAAATCACTGAGAAAACAGTGATGCAGCAAAGCAAGAGCAGTCCTTCCTGGTTATACTAATATCTAACATGTGATCAAAAGGATCTGTAAATTGAATATTAAAATAAGTTCTATCCAGTGACTGCAAGTTCAAGTTAACACTGTATGGACATTAAGCACAGACAGTGAAAGGCTTAGACTATTTCTAAGTCATGTCCTGTTTTATGTAATGGTACTGCAGACAACGTCCTTTTACATGAAGATATGATGGTTAAACCATTAAAAAGAGAGTTCTGTCTTCTGGGATATAGTGCCATGTAGTCTGATGAAAGTTAACCGATGTTTTGGAGGAACATGTAGCTTCCATCTCCAGGGTTGATGAATAAGACAAATAAGCTCTGCTTGCTACCTGCTTCATGTTGGTTTCTTGCATAGGCATTACCACCAGTAAAGGTACAATAGGACATATGGAGGATTTAAGACCACAGAAACTGTTTTCAAGACAAATTATACTGTCATATTATTATCTCTGTATTACTATATTATTATTATTATTATTATTATTATTATTATCATTTATTATAATTTGGCATACTATTTCTGTATTATTATATTCTTATTACTATTTAGTATTAGTATTAATATTAATCTTTGACTTGTCCCATATCATGTATAATGATTCATGGATGAAATAAAATTGAATTGAATTGAATTGCTTGGCCTATTGTTCAACCATGAAGATGGAGGTGACATGTCCCACTGAAATATGGGTTGACTTTCAACAGACTACATCTCAGAAGATAGAATCCTTCATAACCACTGCTGTGAGAAGTTCAAATCCTACAATACAAAGAGTTTTGGACAGATTATGAAATGGAAAGAACTGTTCCAAACATACAAAGCATGTTTCAAAGAATTAATTGTGAACATAATTTACAGTAGTAAGTCAATACATAACAGCTGGTGACATAAATTTTGCTATACCTGAGGCATGTTTATGATAAGCTGACGTTGCAGGAGCAGAAGCTGAACATTTTGTGTCAGTACTGACATTACTATTTGTAACTGACACATCATCTCCTTTTTTGGACTTAACTTCTGAAATGAAAATTATATTAAAAATCAAGTGATGAAAATGGAAAAGTTTTCTTCAGATTATCACTATTTCAGGTGGGAAAAAAATGGTTTCATATGCAATTAATGAGGAATACTTAATTTGGGGAAACTAGTATAAATCTCCAATGGAATTGTAACATACCCTATGTGATTGTGAGGCCATAGCTTACTTAAGATTTTGTCACCTGGGTCAGTTTTTCATGGAACCAAGTGACTTTTATGATGCCCCCATAAATAAAGTCATACATTTCATTTGAAGTGCAGGATTAATAAGGGGTTAATCCAAAGGGGAAGCACAAAGATCATTGGAGATCACAGTGCGAGGGCTGGATTTTATGGCCCATCGCTTACATGGAATGGTAACCAGAAACTAATTAAGATGTGTCAAAGGGTAGTAAGGATGCTGTAATAACTACAGATGACTCTAGTTTAAAGTGGGAAATGGGATTGATGTGTATGAAGTGGGAGATCTGGGGGGAGGAAATGGCCATGCCCTAATTTACTGTACTACCACACTGCTCAGAACAGTTGAGCCCAGATGGAATTTCAAACTTTGAACCTTCAAAATGCAAAAACAAAAACAAGAATGGAGACTCAGTCCTTTGTACTACTCCTTCTAATGGGCCTTAAGCCCTGACAATAAGGATGATGACATAACAGTATGCAGCAATGGTCTAATGATTGGCAGAGGAAAACCATCTCAATACCTCTTTGTTCAGTACAAATCCTAGGACCAAAGCTTGATGTCTTGGGTGAGAACCTAGCAAAACTACACAACTATGGCATGACCTACTATGTACAACAGGTATATTACTTTAATTATGCTGTTCTGCATTTATACAAGTGGAATATATTATTTATACAACACTGTAACAGACATGAAAGCTTCTTAAAAGTTAAGTAGGCATTAGCTTCATATCTGATTTGGAAAGTTCTCTACTTTATTTCAAAATATTACATTGAGAATGAATTCCATTCTTGGCATTAAATATGTCCTGTCAAGAATCAAATTAAATCAAATCACTTCAGGTGTCACCACCAACAATAATAATGTAGCACTACCATATACAAAAGTATACATATGGTTAGGAAAAATGTACATAACCACTCTATTTATTCTGACGATGGATGAAAAGAGCAATATTTTTACTCACACAAACAATTATCTTCCTGCAGATTAAAAACGTTGTAACATAAAGGCACAGCGAATAAAAGGAGACAGTAACATTACCGAAGTCCTCAAAGAGAATTATCATGCAACTTTCCAAATTTTGAGACCTGCATTTCACTTCAGCACTTTCCACATCTCTGACATTGTTATATAAATGGAGAGTTATTTTTACAAGCATTTTACATAATTTGTAGAACTGTCCTACTTCTCAGAAAACCAGTTTGAGTCTCAGTTGAGACAGAAGGTATCTAAAATGTCTGCAATCCTCTTGGAGGCAGTAACTCATTTTTTATTTTAAAACAAATTCATGAAACTAATGGTTATCAGTGGTGTTCTTATGTTTGTTTCAGGGGGGGGGGAAGGGGAAGGCCAAGCCTTTTAAAAACAAAACTGAAATCCTAACACTATGGACTTGTAGGACACAAATGTGAGGTTAGATTCTGTATCTTGTTTTTACAAATGAACTAAGAATCTGGATCTCATTTTTACACATAAACTTCTAAGGATGGCAGCACTAATGTGGCAGACATGAGGGCAAAGTCTTGGGTCATCTCTTTTAAATGAAATTCTTTTGCTTTTATCTCATGCCTGGCCTATGGGTGTTCAGACCAAACAGTTCAAGAAAAATGAATTTATCTCGCATGCTGAGTGGGGGCTAGAAACACAGCAACATGCCAGAAAATAATGACCCACCTTCCACTAGTGACAGAAATATAAACCAATTTACCAACTTCTCAATAAAATTTCAGTACCTAATTATACGCATTCTTCACTTTGAGACAGGATATTCAGATTCTCTCAAGTTATGCTGCAAAATGGAAGAAAACCAAGGAAGGAAAAAATGTAAAGACATATGCCATTAATTTAAAGATATGGTGTTTCTGGTTTACCCTTTACACCAGATAATTTCTTGAACTGATCCAGGAAACTTCCATCATTCGAGAATATGTTCACTGATCCTGGAACCTTCGAACTGTTGGTATCTTCTGACTGTGAAGAATCTCTCTTCCATCGCTGGTCTTGATTGCTATGCAAAAATTTCCAGCCAGGACAATTAAGGAAATAATTACAATTTCTACAATTTCTACCTAAGTATGTTATATTTTAGTGTCCTGTTACACTAACCGTCTTACAGTGTATACACTACCTAAGTATATGCGTGGACACTAACTTACTACAAAATCATGACTTTAGTGACTAATGAGCATATTCACAGATTTTGTTCTAAAAGCAGGCAAAACACACTTAATGAAATAAAAATACAGAGCCAGAAAAATTAAACATTTTAAAAATATGTTAAATAGTTTTGAGTAAAGTACATTTCAGGTTTCATTCTTGAAGTCACTAACAGTGTTAAGCTTGTAACTCAAACTTTCTACATCATAAATGACCTACAACAGCACATGAAACTTGTTAGGCTAATTAAAATCTGTTTAAATGAAACCAACTGAAAAGTCCACAAAGGCAAACATTTGTCTAATGCACTGCCTATTCAGAATGGCCTGAAACAAGATTCTTTGTTTTAACTGAATTTTAAATTTCTTTTAAAATATTCTGAAAGGTCCAACAAAATTAATATAGATTGTAAGTAAATAATAAACTTCAGTTTCTGGTTGATACAGATGATATTAAACAAATTATCAAGGCTCTGTCAAATTACAAGACAACTGCTTAATTTAACATATGTGAAATCCCAGCATGTTTTGATGTCAGAATGTCATCCTCAGAGGTGTTTTTTTTCTTTTAACATGATTGTACCCATATTCTAAAAACGTGTACTATGCATAGCAAAGAAAGTCATGTAACGATGTGTTCTGGTACAGACTAAAAGTAAAAAATTCCTTTAAACAATTCAAGGATCTTATAAGATTTGAAATTCAAGCACAAATATGTTTCTTTGTGTTACATAAAGTGGTGTAGAGCTCAGTTAAAAGAGCAAATGGATTCATTCTTGTAAACAATAAAACAAATGTAAATCAGTGCTCATACAGAAACACAGAAGACTGCAAATGTTTAAAGAGGAGGTAAGAATTTAGAGGTGTTAATGAAGAGAACCTTGACCCACAGAATGTGAAATTGCTGAGATTGTGTGTGATGTAGCCCCTGTCCTGGTTAAAATTGGACTGTTAACCTAATGAGTGTGCACAGCTTAACTTTACAGTCCATCTTCTGAGCCATGCAGAGGATCTAACAGTTATTATCTTTGCCTTTGTGTTCTTCAGTCACTTTGTCTAGCGTTTTGTGTAAACTGTCTTTAATTCTCCCAATCTTTTCTGTGGCTTGAGTTCGCTTGCTTGCCGGCGTAGTGCAAACTTTAGTGGATAGAGGGTGTCGCGTGGTCAGCACAACAAATCCCCACGGCCGTTAATTTTGGTTTCCTAGACCAGAGCCGCTATTTCCTTGAAATAGATCCTCAATTATCCTCACGAGGCTGAGTGGACCCCGTTCCAGAACCACTACTCACAAAATCTGGTAGCGCCAGGAATCAAACCAGGACCTCTGAATCTGTAGCCAGGAACTCTGACCACTAGACCACTGAGACGGTTTTTAGTGTTGAAAATATGTGAAGTGAATTCTGAATCCTCTCTGTTTAGTCTGATATGGCAAATATGCTCTTTGTATATTAGCAGATGTCTCCCAGATTGGCCTATATAACCTTTCTGTTAGTCCAAGCATAGTGATTTATAAATATCAGCACTGCAGTACATTGCTGTTTTTGTTTCAAGCATGTCTTTTATGTGTATGTTTGAGTGTTTAAACAGTTTTATGATAGCCAAAATACTTGCCACTGTATGTAAAGTCTTCCCATTTCTTTTGCGTCCCATTCTCTTTGTGTGTGACCATTTCTCATCTTTTTGACAAGACCCTCCTCAGCCCCCTTTATTTTCAGTGAACAATCACCCCCAACAATGTAATTAAAATGAATTCAACCATCGGCACTCGTACATACTCATGCTCGTATTTATAATACTGTTCATTGTCAATTAACTTATAACTGTTTCACCCATATATGCTGCACAATAGAATAACAAAAAAGATACAAAAACATTTAACTAACCAACCAATCATTTAGCAACCACACAACTAAAACATACTAAGTAACTCCACAGAGCTGAGTCCTTCTTGAAAACCCAATAGCTACTCTAGATGTGCAATGTAGGTTCCTTACATAAACTTTAAGTGCAGTGTTAAAATTTATTAAGAAACTAACTTTCATAAATTAAAATTACTTATATTCAATTAGAATCTATCTGAATTAAATTTTATAAAAGCAAAATATTTAATTAATTCAGCAATTTATGCTTTGGTGCTAATAAGAGTCATAGTACCAATTCTTTGTTCTGTGTACCTAACTATAAACTGACTTGAGGGCCTCCCACGACACAATCTCTGTGGCAAATAAATCAGACTCTGTTCCCTGGATGCTGAAGTTCTGACTGTTAACACCTCATGCTTATCAGCTCCCTAGTCTGATTATGTTTTCTTTTTCTTTTTTTTAATTTTTCTCATTGGTGCTCAAACCCATAATTAATTTAATCTGACATATTCATTTCTAGAACCCTGAGTAGGAGAGCTGAGATGAAGTGTGAGAGGTTCAGCCATAGTATGGTGCTATGAGTCCTTACAAGCAAGCATTTTCTGGTGGCACACTAGAGTGATACCAGAATCTTTCCTTTCACAAAACGTACAATAAAAGAATTTAAAACTTATTACCAATAAAATAAAGATGGAATAAGACTAAAAATTAAGAACTGACACAGACAAGAACCAGCCTCATATGTAAAACTGAATACTGTTCTTCTTCTCTACTTTCAAGGTTTAATGTTAGTTAGAAAACTCAAGAAGCATGTACCTTCGTGCATGTGCTGTATTTCGGATATGTTGTGCAGAGATTTAAGTACCTTTACTGTGACATATCACATGTATATGTTCTTTATATCTGTGTTCCAAGATGTGTTCTATCGCATGTATCATGGTGGGGATTCAAGATGCTTTACTGCCTATTCTAATGTTTTTGCATTTGCCGTTTTTTATGTAGATTTTCAAGTAGATGTTTCTGAATAATGGTGCACATGTGGCAGACTGTTTTTATATTGTTGCTTTTGAATAGTTTTGTAATAGGTTTGATTTCTTTATAAAAAATGAAAGCCAAGTTTAAAAAAAATGGGGGCACAGTTAAAGGCAAGTAAGTTGGAAGAAACTTGAACATGATTCTAGAAACAAAGCCATCATGTGCAAATGTAGCATTAATACATGGTCTCAGGCTGGAGACAATTCCATGATCCAATGCCAAAAATGAAATTAAAAACCCACATGAGCTGTCTACGCAACTTATATGGAGCAATTTTGATTTGTGGCATACCGCTTTTTGATTACAGATATGGCTTATATATGTTTTCATCCAACACTTTGATATAGTAATAGTTGTTTGACGAAAACGTACATAAACAGCCCTTATATGACTTCGGGTTCGATTACCTGCAAACGAATACTAACCACGTATAAAAAAAAACACGCACCATTTAAAATCACCCAAATGTTTAAGAGTAAGCAACATATTCGGAAATATGGAGTATAATATGTAGTGAACTGCGTCAAAGGTCATAAAATCGGGAAGCGTTGGATATAAAATGTCAACATACCTTTTCCAGAACGGTTTTCTGTTCACTTTATGTTGGCCACTGTTGGAGTTCGATCTGTTTCCAGGGCCTGATCTGCAATTCCCAGATACACCTTGCAACTTTTTCAATGCCTCTTCAGTTTCCTTCTTCTTCTGGTCTTCTAATTTTTCTTGTATTTCTCGCTTCTTCTGCTCAATAAGTTGTTCTTGTTTTGACATTTGTGCAAACCTTTCATTTCTTGTCGTTTTTGAAGCAAATGGGTCGGAACCTCTAATCCCACGATACGCCATTTTTACGTAGCTCCAACTGACGGTGAATAAAGCGCATCAGTACCGATCAGCACGGCCACAAAACACCGAACAACCAGTCCGAACACACGAACCACACGACCCACACGACTATACAGACCAACACACACGACACAAACGACGCAGACCAACACAGACGGTTAGGTGGTAAGACTGCGCAAACCGGTCCAAACCGAAACAGACTATCTCGCATATCTCGGATTGTACAAACCGTACAAACCATTGGCTAATGGCTACTGCGTCCGTACTACCAATCGTATAGCATCAGAATTCTCCATCTTCAAGATTAAAATTTTTCTACAGTTCTCTGAATAATTTTTTTTGGTTTATGTTCTTGTATTTTGAGTGTCAGACCGAAAACATAGCTGCTGGTATAGCAAATATTAAAACCACTGTTATAGCAAATATGGAAACGACTGCCGTCATTATCAGGCCCAGGGAAATTAAGGCTATTGCTGGGCAGCTTGGCCGCTGTGACGAAAGCACTACAGCTTCCATCTATTTTCAGATATGAATCTATTTCCACAAAAAGGTTGCCGCCAGTGCCGAGAGCACGATTGGTAAGAAGGTATTCTATCATAAAACGGGCCAATGCGTCTTCCCCCTCCCAAAACACCGGTAGCGACAACAGAGGCTACTAAGCAATTGTTCACAAGAGTAGCAATAATTTTACAGTCTGATCTTTTATACTGCAGACGTTCTTACTAAGTGGTGTTCTTTTGGTGGAAATGAGTTTATCATCACTTCGCTCATATCCATCCGGAAAAGTTTTCTTACCAGGGAACATTTCATTTACATCAATCCAGCACCTCCTCACTGAAAAAGGCAATGGACACTGTGAACTGTGACACACATAGAAAACTTGTGGTTAGGAAAGCTAAAGGTGGGTAAACTTGTAAGAAAATTCTGTTTTCATCAGATATACCTGTATTCATCTTCATAACTTTGGTCACAACTCACACTAAGAATATACAGAACTAGCTTTTTGGTTACATTAATGTATTATAAATCATGCATAGCAAGTAATAACACTGAGGTTTCCATGTATTAATTTCAGTTGTATGATGCTCAAGAATCTGAAATACAGTCTTGTTAACAAGGTAACGATTGCATTTAATAATATATTAAAAGCAATAAAACAATTGCTAAGAGGAGATTGAACTTGGGTAATGCTTGCTACCATTCAGTACAGAGCCTTTTGTCTTCTCATCTGCTGTTTAAAAACATAAAAATTAGACAATACAAAACTATAATTTTGCCTGTGGTTCTGTATGGGTGTGAAACTTGGTCCCTGATATTAAAGGAGGAACATAGCTTGAGGATGTTGGAGAACAGGGTGCTAAGGAGAATATTTGGACCGAAAAGAGATGAAGTGACAGAAGGTTGGAGAAAACTGCATAATGAGGAGCTTCATAATTTGTACTCTTTGCCAATTATAATTGTAATAATAAAGTCAAGGAGGCTGAGATGGGCAGGACAAGTAGCACGAATGGAGGAGAGGAGAAATGCATATAGGATATTGATGGGAAAGCTGGAAGAAAGGAGACCACTGGGAAGACCAAGGTGTAGATGGGTGGACAATATTAAAATGGATCTCAGAGAGATAGGATGGGATGATATGGATTGGATTGATCTGGCTCAGGATAGGGACAGGTGGAGGGCTCTTGTGAACATGGAAACGAACCTTCGGGTTCCATAAAATTCTGGTAAGTTCTTGAGTGGCTGCACAATTGGCAGCTTCTCAAGAAAGGTTCAGCTCCATGAGTGAGTGAATAAAAGAGTTGCAGAACTACGAAAAATCTCACGATCTTGAAACACACTCATGATTTCAAGTTCGATATTGAACATAATAATGTGGTGAAAATAATAAAACAACTGAAAAAATAAAACGAACATTGAAAATCTGATATATATATCTGATTATGTATGTTCACAAGTTCAATACTGAGCATAATAATGCAGCCAAAATAAAAAAATAACTGAAGGAATATACCCATAACAATAAAATATCTCAATAATATCCACAAAACAACAAAACTGCTGAATGAACTATATAAATACTATTAACTAAAACTCCTTAACTAAGGAATAGGTAATAAGCTCAATTACAACATACACACTGAATACCGATATTTACTCTGCTTCACTGTGTTTCATACTGAAGTAGATAACCTGAACATCTGAAGTCAGTTATAAAGTAATGCCACTTCATTCTTACTTACACATAAACAAGAACCACATGTGTCAGAAAACAATTTCCCATAGAACTATGAACAGAAATATAATCACTTCAAGATAAAGCGCAGAATGAACAGTGACCATCTTCTGAAAGTGAAGTTCTAATATACTGAGATGAAAAAGACATGTTTGTAAAATGGGGAAGAGGAGCTCAAGTTCAGAATAGGTTTCTTGTATGTAATCCTTCACTGCAGTTGATGACAATGTTATCAATGAATACACAATACCCGAGGACTGAGATAAGAGCATGTGAATGCGTCATAGTTTCTGTTACTGCACTGCAATTGGTTGTCATCAGTGTTACTATCTCCAGTCAAGAATTATTCATATTCATTATATATAATATTATTATTAATATTAATATTGCCACCAATGACTCACACAACTGGCCAGACATAACACAGTTCAGCTGATATGGGTGCCAGGCCATGAGGGGTATTGCTGGGAATGAAACTGCAGATCAGCTGGCAAGAACAGGATCTGAACAACCGTTCATAGGACCTGAACCAGCTTGCGGCATCTCAATTGGAGTTGCCAAGAAAGCGATCGGAGACTGGACTAACAGAAATCACAAAAAACACTGGGAATCCACAACTGGACTCAAACAGGCAAAAGGACCCTCTGCCAAAAGAACGAGGGCCCTGTTAAAATTAAACAGATATCAATTAAGATGGGTGGTAGGATTACTTACTGGACACTGCTACCTAAAAGAGCACCTCTTGAAACTGGGACTGACAGATGACCCAACTTGTGAAAGGTGCCTATAAGAAGATGAATCAATCACACACATCTTATGTGAATGTGAGGCTATAGCTTACTTAAGATTTCACCACCTAGGTCAATTCTTCATGGAACCAAGTGACTTTTATGATGCCCCCATAAATAAAGTCCTAAATTTCATTTGAAGTGTAGGATTAATAAAGGGTTACCCCAAAGGGGAAGCACAATAGATCATTGAAGGTTGTGGTGTGAGGGCCGGTTTTTATGGCTCACCCCCATACTCATACTTATATTCATACAAGCTATGACACACACGACTTTGTGGGCATTTACAAGTGAATCTCTGGATGTATTTTATTCAAATTTACTTTCTTGTGATGGATTAAATTATGAAAACTTGATATTGAATCATAAACCTTATTCCAAGAATAATAAATTCAGACCTTAAGACAAAAAGATATAAGCAAGCAGAACCTTTAATCACTATCATACTCTTCATAATGTTTACTGACAGTGTGAATGATTGGCATATTGGCAAGGTACAGTCACAACAGGAAAACATCTGCTTTATCACATTGTTGCTGCATTTTCTTTCAGTGTGTGTAACAATTCTAAACACACTGTGCTGGAGCTTGTTTCCTTTATTAATAGTAAATAATTCTGATAATTTCCTTAAATATGTTTGCTTTGTTAAGTATACATTTATAAATAACGCACACTGTGGGCTTCAGAATTTTGTGGTACAATTTCACTTACAACATACTCTCCAAATTCAGCTGTCCCCTGGTAATGAAACATTTGTGGATCCAACTCTCATACATTTTTAACTTTAGTTTCAATCCCAGGAAAACAAAAACTTGTGGTATTTACACATCAATTTGTGATTTCTTTTGTGTCATTTACAGTAAAATATTTATAAGTGCATTCTCTTCCACCAAACCGAGTCTAAGTCATCCTGACTGGCATGGAAAACACGGGCAAGTATAAATGTTCCACATTTGTTAGAAATTGCTAAATACATGTACAAGACTTTCTCTTAAAAGTTATGTTCCTTTATTTTACACCATACAACATAATTTTTGTCTCACTTTCACACATCAGTTTTATTATACATAATCTTACAAAGAGGGAAAGGGAAAATAAAACAACTATATAACTTTAATGTGGAATGTAGAACACAAATTTATTGATTGAAATACAGAGTAGTTAAACTGGTCTGTTAGTCGCACAAGAAGATTTTATTACTGTAGCTTTTGTATGACACAACTGCCTCCTATATCAACATGTATTCTTCTGATGGATGGATATAAACATTTATAACAGCTCTAGAACTAGCCCATAGGTGGGAGAGGAAAAAAAGGGAGATCATAACTTCATATGTGGACAAGTTTTTTGAACTGTTTTAATTAATGAACATACATCCATGATGGCACAATGGGACAATTTTAATAATGTAAGCTATTCAATTTCACCTACAATAATGTGAGGATGAAACCCTATTTTAAATTTCAGTCTTTCTTTTACTCTTGTGGGAACTGCCCGCATTCAAGCCCGCTGTTTACTCGCCGTTGCTAAGCAATGATACTTGCATTGTCACATTTGCTTGAATGTGGGCAGTTCCCACACTCTCATCAAAGTACTATACTCTTTAAGTTTTTCATCTTCTCGCCTTCATGAACAGTTGGACTTCTTCAGCCTAGCATTCTATGGTTTGGAAACTCTTATGGTTCAGGAAATATCTTGATGGGTGGTCATGGAAAACTTATGTTATTGCTCCAACATCTGCTCTGGTAATACTCTTGAGTTTTCATATCCTGCTGAAACTCATTTTTTAGTTTGCAGCATGTTTAATTATAGTAAATACTTTTATACAGTAACAAGAGTTTACTGATCATGTAGAACAGATCAACAATCGTTAAGAAGCTCAGATACAGAAACATCACTGAAGAACTCATAAAATTTATGGTGCTGAAGTGTCATAAATTATGGCATTAAAATGCAGAATAAAGAAATATGAAGCTCTACAGTACAATAAATGGAAAACAGATTATAATCTCATGCAGATAGGTTTAATAATGCTGCCCTTAAATAAACAGTTTATTCATAAATGTTGCAAACATTATCCAGCATTTCGTACTGCTGCTGTGTTTTATCTACATAATTAATAAAACAATTCAGGACAGTGAATGTATTTATTTCAGCAGATGACCTTATCACTCATGCCAAAGATACCTTCTTAGTGACTCCACCTTCCTTCTACCTACTCTCTACTTGGGGATGATGGCAATGGTAACTGCATTCATCCCTAGCTACACTGCCATGTTCACAATCCTCCCTGGATGGAATGGTGTGCCCAAGTTTGACCCTTAGGCAATAAAAGGTGGAATCGTGAAATAAATATTTGATGACAATAAAACATAAGTTCAGGACAAACAGCAAAAAACAATAATAAAATAATAGTGACGTTGACTGTTTCTTAAGTAATATAAATATGCACTGCAACAGCTGCAAAACCATATGACTCTGACCACCTTGGTCAGTCCAGACAGAAAACCAAATAATGTGATCACTTGGAGCCATCTGCCTACCCCAGACCTAGAAAATCAACAAAATACACATAACATTGAGAGACAATCCTGATCATGTTACCCATTATATGTCATAACAGTAACACCATATGGACCAATAGCTAACCCAAACAAATAATAATTTAACACCAAACAGAAAACCTACTCGCAACATCCTCAATGAAAAAGTACATTATCGTTGCAACAAGGAGGCCCCTTGCCCTAAACGGCCAGAGTGAAGAATCAAAACAGAATTTGGAGAGACTAGACTGAAACAGGACTTTGTTATCTACTTCACTGACTGATGGTAAGCAGACTGCTCTCATATATCTCCACCCATACAAAAGGAGGTCATCCTTTCCAAACATGGGAGGAGGGGGGAATCACATGGTAAAAAGGGATGATGGGCCAACGGTAAACGAGTCATGGATGCTTCTGGAAGGGGAGGTGAAGGTACCGGGATGAAATGCGTTACTCCTGAGCCATTGGAGTAGAAAACATGGCTCACTTCCAAGTGGAAAACTTCATGACCCACACCAAAAGGGTTGCAAGGCTATAGGGATAGAAGTCTACCAGTGTGCTTTCATTGTTTGTTCCTTTTTGCATAGTATGGATTCATAAAGAAAAGATTCAGTGTATGACAGAGATGTCAGAAGATGGGAGGGGGTGAAATTCAATATGCAACAATGGTTTATGCATTTTTCCCCCTAGTTTCTCTAGTACTCTATCAATTCTAATGGCTATGGCAGTTCAGTGGACGACAGAAGAGGACATGAAATGGAAAGAACAAAGAAAGCAGTTATAACATTATTATACTTAAGCATCCTGTTGCACTCTACACGATAAATGATACAACCTCTGTCCCAAGTGCAAACAATATATTGTGACATGTTGACCCCTACCTCACCAGCGGAACGTAGCGGTAAAGTAGCGCTCGCGTAATAGGTGAATCATCACCCCGCCACTCTCCCCGC